CTAACCGGCCTATGTCTTAGCAGGACCGGGGATTGCATGATCAACCCTGTAGAAATAAGTTGTACAAGTTAGCCACATGTATTGGCAGCTTTATTTACTTAAGCAAATGAATGTTTAGGTAAATGTACTTTTAAAGATAGAAAGAATAAATCAAAGTCATTTTGTTTTTATCTTATTTCTTGTCCAAATGATAAGTTAATTGAAAGTTAGTTACAACTTCAAATGCTTGTGCCGGAATGAGCATGCGACGTCCTCTTCAAGAGCACCATACATAAGGACCCTCTCTTATGTAGCCCTCACAGTTAAAGGGTAGATTCCGGAAGTGTGAATGCTCGGGATCCAAAGTTATCGGATGTAAGAAGAATTCCCGAGCTTTATCAGTTAAATACTAATAAAAGAGAATATTTATTACACAATATTAAAGCAAAAAATATCTTTTATTACTTAAAATTCCAAACTCAATAAAGAAGTTTTGGCATAATTACAAAGGAAAAGGAAATAAAAATATATACATAAATTATTTTTGCTGCCAGAGCCCGAGGGGAGTAAAGAGTCTTGGTTTTCTGTTTCAGGAGAAGGTTGTTCCGCCTCTGGTTCGAAGCCTCATCCTTATTTTCTTCCTCTTCAACTTTCTCTTCGGTTCCTGAATACTTGGAGATAAAGTTCGAAGAGTCAGAGGAAATGGTCCGAGTAGGGAGGTTCTCGAGAGCAGTTGTCTCCAATTCACGAGCTATGAAAATGCAGTCATCAATGTTTGCAATGCCTTCTTTGGCCTCCTCCAAGGTCTTCCTCTTCATGTGATAAATGGCTTAGATTTTCTCGAGGAGGATGGAATCTTCCTAGTCTCGGAGTTTAGCTCGGAGTTTCTCAATTTTTGTTTGAAGCTTATCATTTTCAGTTTTTACAAGTATGATCCTGGAATAAAGCTCAACTTCGGTTGTCTCGTGAAGTTGGTTCTTCTCCATGACCCTTTTTAGCCTTTCTTCCATTTTGGCTCAGTTCTCCTAGGTAGCATTGGCTTCTTCAGTTTTGGAGCATAAGCTAGCCTCCACGTTATTAACTTGCTCCATAAAATCAGACTCGTGCTCGGCCTCACCAGTCATTGTATCATGCAATTCAGCCCACTTAGCCTTCGCCTCCTTAAGATCTTCATGTAATTTAGCGGCTTCTTGGCTGTGGGCCATTCTATCTTGGTTAGATTTCTACAATCGAGCCTCGAGCTCACCCATTTGAGCAACTTTAGCTTCCAAAACAAGGAGGCGCTCGACAAGCTGGTTCCGTTCAGCCATAAGTTGATTTCGTTCCATTGTAAGTCCTTCTTTTTCCAAAATCAACCTTTGCAGGCCCTCGGAAGCAAGGAGGTTAGCCTAAAAAGGTTAGACCTAAGGTTATTAAGGCAAAATTTAACAAACAAAAAAGGGAAGAGAAGAAGGTTAGATTGATACCTGAGCCGAACAGTGCATGCTTTTGTTTAGCAGCCATTCAGCAGAAAGGGAGTCCATTATTCTCCAATCTTTCATTGTGGCCAGCGGTTTCACGTAGTTGGCAGCGTCCACCGGTTTGGAAAGTATGTGGCACTCATTCAAAACCGTAAGAATGACACTTCGTTTGCCACTGAGGCTGTGAGTAGGTGCCAGGAAAGTGTTCCCTAGATTCATATGATCAGATGACCGTGGGCAAGGAACATTTCTTATTTGCTGAGTTTGGACCGATGGAGGGGTAGCAGTTGGTGTAGAAGGAGGGGAGGTTGTACCTAGCTCAGGAGTTGATGGTAGAGTTACCTCCGGGGTAGGATGCCTCTGAGTGGAAACGTCAATTGGAGCCCGAAAGCGGGACTCAACGTTCTCAACAATTTCATTTTCGTGAAGAGTCCTAAAATTTCATCTGGTTGCGGAGTTTGAAGCTCATCCGGTTGAGCTGATGAAGATCTTTTTCTTTTCTGAAGGGGAATCGGTTCCTTCATCATCAAGGACCACTGTTGTCGGTCCGGTTGTGTTTCTTTCAAATTCTTCTCCCGAGTCCCTGCCGAGGAGGTATGTTTTCTCTTTGGTTTCCTGTCTTTGGGTTGGGGACTCCGGGAGGAGGCGCCTTCACCGAAAGCGAGAGTGTCCTCATGAGCTCTCCTCCGATTAAGCACATTTTGTAAAGCCCGTTGGTCTTCCTCTAGGTCATCAAGAACCTCAATGGGGGCAAACACCGGATCCCTTCTGAAGTCCTATGTGTTGCAAAAAGAGAGAGTTAACAATTTGATTCTGAGTCATGCTAAAAGATGCAAGAAGGAAGAAAGAACCTTTATTTACCATAGTTTTTGGCTTTCCAATTAAAACTGGGAGCTATTTCTTTCCACCTTTGAGATTCGAATATAGAAATATTCAAAATTTCCTGTACCCATTAGGACAGGTTTTGAACTCATGGTGATTCCCAATGAGTAGCTGGAATAAGGGAAATACAAAGTTAACGGAGGAATTTCTTTCTAAACACAGAAAGGAAAAGATATTCGAAGACTTACGAAAAAGGTTCCAAGATTGAGGAACAATAGGTGTTGTTGTTGGGAGAATATCCCTGGTAGCGATGACAACTAATCGTTCCATCTAGCCACGATCATTGTCATCATCAACACTGGTAAGGAGGCATGGTGGTTGTGTTTGCTGAGCTTTAGCACACCCCCACGGAAGATCTTTGGTGAGTAGAGGTTGATCATGTGTGCGAGAGTTAGAGTTTTTCCGGCCTTAGAGCATAATTTACAGAGGCAAGCCACCATACACCATACTAATGGGCCTGCTTGAGTCAAACATATTTGGTACCGGTGGCAAATTCTAAAATTATTGGGTCGATTCCTTGACCCAATCCCAAAGTGAAAGGGTATGTATAAACATACATGAACCTTGATTTGGAGAAAGTGACCCTTTCCACTTCACTAGGGGCGAAGATTTCAATATTGCTCCATTCGTAATCTTCTTTCACGATAGGGATGCTAGAAAGACAAATAGAAGAAGGATATCTGCGAACAAGTCAATGTCTTTCACTTTTGGGATTAATGGGTTCTTTTCAGACTTGAAGGTCAGACTGGGTGTTAAGTTGAATGGGTATAATGGAGTTCAGGTAGGAGGTTCAGATTCGATATCAACTTCTTTGATTTTGTTCTTTCTAGGGTCACCTCTGAAGATAAGGCCGGTATTTTCGAGGACAACAGTGTTAAAAGATATGATGGTAAGGAATTTGAGAAGGGAGATTTTACTGAGGAAGATGAATTTTGCAGTATGGTTCTAAGAAGAAAAAGAGTTTGTGAAAGTGAAAAGTGAAATTGAAGAACAGGGAAGTAGTTTATAAGCGCCATAATTCGTGGTCATGATTATCTTGGAAACTGGAGAAAATATATACTAAATCATGGAGTAATACATACTCGGATCATTAAATGCGAAGAGACGTGTGTCCTTTCAAGTGTCAGAAACTGTTCAAAAACTAACCCATTAAGAAAAGAAGTTTTATCTACTTTCCGACAACACTAAAGTATTGTCGGACAGTAGGGAGACTATCTGTATGGGGTAAAATTGGTTAGCGACAGTTGGACAAATGATGAGATGACACGTAGAACTAAGGACAGGTAGATGTGAGTAAGCAAGTAGTTAACATCAGATACAAGCATGGATCGGTTCTGTGTAAATTCCGAAGGCATGGGAACCGATAACAAAGAGTTGAAGAGAAGACATCGAACAACATTCAATGAGCAGCCGTTACAAAGAATCTCTGTATTAATAGCCAACTGTTATACAGCCATCAATGGCGGTTTTCTCATTCAAGATGAGCTTGAATCTTGATTGGGGATCTTGTCTCCCTCAATAGAGCTATAAATAGGAAAATTAGTATCCCTTGTTGGACACGAATCATCTGTACTTAAAGGCCATAATTTGCTCTCATACTATAAAATTTCTTGCTTGTTTTTGTTCTTAATATTGTTCATATTATTGCTTTCGGAGAAGCTCAACCTACAATCAAGCTTGTATTTCTTTAAGTTATTTTTACGTTCTTGATCTCATTCTTGTTTATTTCATATTTTTGTATCGAGTTAATTTACATGTCTATAAATCCCGTTATAAATTCAACTGTACCGTTTTACAGGTAAACATCTATCTTGTAATAACATGAACTTGTCAAAATAACATACACCCTAGTACATGTTCCTCGACGCTTTGGGCACTCCCGAAGAGCGGGGGATTTTGTGACATTTCTGATTGTGAAATTCTTGGGGAGTTATATATTTGTGTATTGATAAGACCGTTTAGTATTTCTTAAAGCTCAATCTTGCGAAAAGTGATTAAAGTATTGATAAGTTTTATGTAAATTAAGCGGCGTAAGATTATATCACCAGAAATAGATATTAAAGAAAGGCCTTTCTGACAGCTTGTATTTAAAATTATATACAGTCAAACCTCTCTATAATAGCCTCGTTTGTTCCAAATATTTTTGGATGTTATAGCGAATTGTTGTTATGGAGAACATATATTATAACATAACATGAAAATTAGTTCCGGAAAAACTTGGCTTTTATAGTGAAGTGTTGTTATATAAGCATACTGTTATAGAAATGTTTGACTGTACTTTATCAGTGTAAGTGAGATTTACATCATCATGTCACCGTTATTTGTTATAGTGGTAATCTTTCTTATTTTAAATTTTACAAATCTAACATTTTAAGAAGGTTTACCTGCATATATCCTTTGTGGCTTGATGGTGTAATATTTTTTTTACACTAACGATGTATTCAACCTAAACTCTAGTTTGTTAAATGCAACCACAACAAAGCAGCTGCGAATAAACATGCTTTATGCCTATGAATAACACTGCTACAAGTAATTACAACAGAGAACAAAAAATCCAACTATTTTTAAATGATGTCCGCCGTTGTCTAATGGGCTAAATTTTTCTGTAAAAGAAAAATCCAACTATTTTTAAAGATAAAGTCTTATGGGGATTGAATTAAAGAGCGGCTTCAAAAAAGTCAACAGTTGATACTGAATAAACCCATAAAAATAATCAAAAAAATTTATAAAATATCGAAGTATTGAAGAAAAAAGAGAAAATGTAGAGTTGATATCTTTTAGCTTCCACAACTCTGATTTGCGCTCTTCTTTTCCTCCCAAAATGGCTGTGATAATCCTCAAAAACGAAATAGACATGAAATTTAATTATATATATTTCTTGATAACAAATATATTTCTTGACTGAACTGAACTTCCTGAACCTGGTAACATACGTGAGAAGATGAAAAATTCTAGCCAAAAGGTTTTGGGTTTATTTAGTTATTTGCCTCCAAGTAATATTGCTTCCAGACATAAAAGGAAGTAATTTCTTTTTGTTAATAGGCACACAAAAGGAAGTACTATTATGAATTGGTTATGTTAGTTATCAATATAGAGAGACAAAAAATTTCCCTTTTCTCCCTTAGAGCGAGTCTGAGGGATTAAACTGGTGGGAATTAATCCAAGCCCTTAAAAATTCCTACTATAATGCCTAACTTTATGCTTATCTTGCCATTTACCCCCCTGTGATATAAAAAGCCAATTAAATCATCTTAATTCACTTTTGTCTCAAAAACAAAAAAAATGGAAGATGACAAGCGAGGAATTCTGCCAAATGTGGCTATTAAAAGAAGTCCAGAAAACAATTCAAATATCACCATACAAACAACTCCTATAACAACAACAACAACAACCTCTACATTTACAAACAATTGTACCAACATCAAGACCGAAAACAACAACAACAATAATAAGTGCAGCAGCAGTAGTAGTAATAATAATAATAATAATAGTAAAGAACAGGATCGGTTCCTTCCAATAGCGAATGTGGGACGAATCATGAAGAAAGTGATCCCAGGAAATGGAAAAATTTCAAAAGATGCAAAGGAAACGGTCCAAGAATGCGTGTCAGAGTTCATTAGCTTTGTTACTGGTGAAGCATCAGACAAATGCCAACGCGAGAAGAGGAAGACGATTAATGGCGATGACATTATATGGGCTATCGGAGTCCTTGGATTCGACGAATATGTGAATCCATTAAAGCAATATCTTAACAAGTATAGAGAACTTGAAGGTGAAAAACTAAATGTTCCTAATAAGCAGCATCAGCAGCAGCAACAACAGCAACAGCTACATGATCACGCGCATTCGCCTAGTTTACCTAATTACAACAGCGTATATAATTCACCCTCAGGTCTTGGTTTGCCTCAACCTTCATTTGTGTCAACAGATCAATCGTTTCCGTTGCCATTGATTTCACAGAATTCAATTCAATCCCAATTATCTCAACAAGAGCAGCAGATTGACTCTGTTGGGCATTGGTAAAAAAATGAATAGTTTTGATCATTATACGTAATTTATCTTTTTTTTTCTTTTGGTATTTTCCTCCTTTCATTTGAAAATTTTTGTAACGTAAAATGATATAGGATGAGCATACTGTTATATTACATTGAAATTCTTAGACGGCTTATATATATATGATTTAATTAGGACAGTTTAGGTTTAGCACGTCGTGTCATTTATGTCGTGCATATAACATCTCATGCACACACGCAGAGAAGCATGTTTTGTTTAGCTAGAAACATATAACGTCTAATTTGGTTGATCTAAATTCTTTTGAAATGCTGTATATATATATATATATATATATATACATATATACATACACACACACACTCTTCCCTCATGTTTTGCATATTTGAGCTTTGAGCTTGTGGATGGTAACTATGGAGTCCCTTATGTTTGTATTTAGCCATGCTGAATGTATATTTATTCAACTCTGTCTTTCTTTATGAACCGTACATGAAAATCATATATTTTGTTTTTATTCATTTTTATTCAAAATTGATTAGTCATTCTCAGACCTCGAAAAAGAATGTACTATCTTTAATCTTGAGTGTTTATGGTTTTATGCCAAAATCTTACATGTGAGATGCCTTGGAGGAAAGAAAGGTGATTATCAGGGCGGATTTACGTATTTATTGTTACAGATGAGCTCATGGTCTTTCCGTCAAACTAGGTATTTTATATATATATTTTTTAGAATTGATCTATATTATCTGTTGGGCGCATTATGCTGCAAAAAGATTGAATGGTGCAGTTGGTTTGAAGGTTGAGTTATTTATCATGAATTTGGTGCACTAGGAAGAATTCCTTTTGTCTACAAATAGTGGCTTCTTCTTAGGTTGTTGATGTTGTGCAGGAAGCTTCAGTCTTTGAGATGGTTTTGGGCTCTTACCATTTCTTGTAAAGATTAATTTCCTCTTCCAACCATCTATATTTAGGCATGTGAATTTATTTGACATCCAGCTTTCGGCTATGCACTCTTGAAACTTCAGTTATTTAAGTAGTAGCTTCATCCTATAGTTGCTTTGAATAACTCATAGTATAGAAGACTTATTTGGATACTTAATCACACCACTTGTTTCCAAGAAGTTGGAATCTGTTGGAGGAAATTGATTTTAATCCAGCTTATGTTAGTCAGAATTTGATGCCTAAATCTGCTGAAGAGTATGCTAAAACTTGCATATCGAGATTGATTTTCCTTTTGTTCAATTGAACAAAACAGAATACTTGTACTGTAAGTTCAGTAACGGGACTCATGAAGCGGACCTGGATGTGAAGCCTGGTACACAAGTCATCCCCACGAGCAGTGGCGGAGGCAGGATTTACGCTAAGGGGATTCAAAAAGAAAAAAGTTAAAAAAAGATTTTAGCTAGTAGGAGTTGAACCTATGACCTTACAAAGGTTTTAAACCCTCTTGACCACTAAGATATGCTTATGGGTTGTGCCAAGGGGATTCAACACTTAATATATAGAGTTAATAAATAAATTTTGCATTATATATACAGTGTAATTTTTCGGCGAAGGGTGAACCCCCTTCTGCCCCCCTAAATCCGCCCCCTGCCCACAAGGAATAGTTTCAAGTGTCTCGGGTTTATAATCTAAGGCGACGAGGAGATTGACGATGAGGTTTCACATCGTATCGGGGCGGGGTAGATGAAATGGAGGCTCGCGTCCGGTATTTTATGTGATAAGAGTGTGCCACTGAGACTTAAGGGTAAGTTCTACAGAGTGGTGGTTAGACCTGCTATGTTGTATGTGGCTGAATGTTGGCCAGTCAAAAACTCCCATATTTAGAAGATGAAAGTAGTAGAAATGAAGATACTAAGATGGATGTGCGGGCATACCAGGAGAGATAAGATTAGGAATGAAGTTATTCGGGACGAAGTGGGAGTGGCTCCCGTAGAGGACAAGATACGAGAGTTGAGGCTGAGATTGTTCGAGCATGTGAAGAGGAGAAGTACAGATGCTCCTGTTAGGAGGTGTGAGAGGTTGGCCATGGCGGTTCAGAGAAGAGGTAGGGGTATGCCAAAGAAGTATTGGGGAGAGGTGACTAGACAGGACATGGTGCTGCTTCAGTTCACTGAGGACATGACTCAGGATAGGAGGGTGTGAAGGTTGAGAATTAGGGTAAAATGCTAGTAGGTAGTTGAGAGTTCCCCTTTCATTACCAGTAGTATTAGTAGCATTGCATTAATTTTCATATTCTTTGATCTCTATTATTTGCATGTTGTTTTGTTCGCTTCGTGTGTCTTATTTCCCTGTTGTTACTATTTGATGCTACTTTTTTCTTTTTCGACTTCTCTTTTCTCCCCCTTTTTCCTTATCGTCTTTTGTATTCCGCTTCTTTCTTTCTTCTTCTTCCCTTTTCTTCCTTTTTCATCTTTTCTTGAGCCGATAATCTATTGGAACTAGCATCTCTATCTCATCAGGTAGGGATAAAGTTTGCGTACACACTATTCTCCCCAGAATCTACTTGTGACATTACACTGGATATGTTGTTATCAATTTGAGCAAAATAATAATAAAATTTATGTTATAAAATAATAAAAGAAGAAGAACATTATTGCAGAGAAAAGTAGAGAGAGAGGATTCTTATTGATTTGGAGTGAATTACAATGGAATAGAACCCTCTATTTATAGGGAGAGGGTGACTTAGCCACCAAGTAATAAACCCTAGAATCTCTCTAAATATAGACATTCACCATAAATAAAATTCTATTTATAACACTCCCCCTTGAATGTCTATTCAACAGATAATGTGCCTCGTTAAAACCTTAACTAAAATAAAACCCAGTGGGAAAAAATTCTAGAGAAGGAAAAAGAGTACACATATCTAATAATACGCCTTTTGGTTGCCTCGTTAAAAACCTTACAAGAAAAACCCAGTGGGACAAAACCTTGTAAGGAAAAAAGAGTACAACGCGTATTAACTCCCCCTCATGAGAGCATCACTTCAAATCCTTAAGCATTTGCATTCCAATCTTGTGCACCATCTTCAAAAGATCTTTGGTAGATATTTGATAAACAGATCAGCCATATTAACTTGAATGAATATATTGCACCTTGAAATCATCATTCTTGATAGAGATGGATTGTCTTCATATGATCTTGTTGGAATCGTCAGTTCAATATCTTCACATAGAGGTGAAAGCTCTTGCTATCATATTATCATGCATATAGTTAGCAAGATACATTTGTGCACAAATTGCATTGAGGATGTAGTACTTCATGACCATGAATTCTATATGCTTTAAGCAATTTAAATCCTTCAGGGATTGTTAAGTTATATAAGCCATATAATAGACTTTAGATGCATATCAAGTTTTCATGTCATGCTAGACATATAAGATATCGAAAACTAATTGCACATACCATTTACTTTATATTCAAGTGTTTGAACTGCAATTCCAAAACTACATGTCTTTCATGTGAAACCAATTCTACTTGAATTGTTTCTCTAGACTTAAGATGCTCATATATATTTAGCGTTATCATAGATGTTGTCGACAAACATTCTATATCGGTTTCAATATTTTTTTCATAAAGACATAAGATAGAGATCTCTTCATTCATATTTTCAGGTACCTGAATCTCTCTTGAGATTTTATGAAGTGTTATGTCATGTGATCTTCTAGATCACTTGCCTCCTTTATTATGATCATTTTGATCATTTGCTCATCTTCTTTATCAAGAAGTTTATTTGAAACCGATTGTCTATACGCTTTAAGCTTACCATAGACTTTGTCCTTCTAGGATTTAATAAGAGCATTTGCAATGAGAATATAGTTACTTTCTTTGGGTCAGCAAATGCGTCCGGCATGCTTTGCATTATATTGCATGTGAATTGCGAACAACCCACAAGGGTGGTATGACATGAATTATCCTTTTATGAACTTCAAGTTCATATTATCTTATTCGAGGATCTAGATGTACAAATGATAATTCATGTGGAACCTTTTCTCAACCGTTTATCATGTCTTCTCCTCATGTTAGAAAAACTAACTTGTTACCTCAGCTTTGAGAATCCACCTTTGTGCGTTATGGTGTTAATCAAAATATACACCGCACATCAATAATAATAAGATGGAATTATTTGGTTCCTGACCTGAACCACTTGTGAGTGGAGAAAAAATATACTTCGTATATAACGTATATCAAACTGATATATATATAACTTTGTTCTCATAAGCAATTGTTTAAGCTATTAAGTAGAGGCACTTAATAAATCATTTTGCTAAACGAACTGTGATGTAAACCAACTTATCAAGATGAACTTCTTGAATAAAAAATCTGGAAATTATGCTCGAAATTAAATTATTGAGCAAGTTACCTCGCAAAACA